CGCCTACTAAGCCTTAAAATAATATACGATTAAACAGCCTATGTCAAATTAAACACAACACTGCATTTGAACACCCCACTACCTTCCCATTGTTGTTATATCTTAATGCTTTGATGTCACGATGGACCTGCAGCCAAGGTGTGCGTATCAAGATGTTATTGTAAGCGCCAGGCCTGGTTGCTCCAGCAGAGGGCAACAGTGCCCCTCTAATCCTTTAAGGACATGCTTGGACTTCTCCCAATGCCCCCACAATGAGTAGCATGACTGGGTCTTTGGCCGTCCAACTGGCCGATACATTTTGGACATGATAGCATTGTGTGTCCATAGTAACTTTTATATAGGCCTAACTGAAAGGCTGATTTCCACAGTGCATTGAAGTTTAGGATGACAATATTCTTTCATAATAATTCTGAGGCTCGCTTGTAGTTATTAGACAAAATGTATTCAACGAAAACGAAAGCTGCTAGTAATTGTAGTGCTCTGCACAAAAGTGATCTGCAACGACAGGAGTAACTGGTGAAACGTTGAGACGAGTCCGTTTCAGAAGGGTAGCGGAACCAGGCGCTGCTTGTGCATATATTTGTCATCTTTAAAAAGCCCTGATACATCAAACGACTGTCCCTAATCAATAAGCAGCATGTTTCCCAAAGGAGTAGCTGGTAACAATTGTATGGTTCAATGTAAGTTTTTGACAGGAACTTTTGGACAACTTAGCCAAGCTTGGTAAGTGCGCCTAGCTGTGTATTATGATAAGAATTCTGACCAACTTTGAAGCAAGATTAAATCCACAAAAGAAGAGTTGCTGCACTGAATGTGATGCGATAATTGTCATATGTGCACAAAGCTTAATATAAATTGACCTATCAGGTCAATACGTGATTCAAAAGAGCCCTGAAGTCTGTAGGAACTTAGTTGAAATACCGAAACACAAAGACCTATTCTCTCATAGGCTGACGCCTTCTGCCATTCGTTTATTGTTATGGCTTGACATGGAACTGGCAGGAAAAGAGTGATGATCCATGGTACAGCTTCACGGAACAAGGGGTTCATTAATAAAAACAGAAAAAAACACGGGTAAACCACAAAGTAAAGAGACTGCGGGGGTCAATAAAAAACAGGAAAAGGTGAGACTTAAACTAAAACTAACATAACTAGGAACAGACAAACACCAAAAGCAGAACTAGGGAACAACCAGGGCTACAGATATCAGATGCAGACAGTAGACAACAGAATTTGAGGTAACAACTACATCTACAAACACGCAGTGACATTATCAATGACTCCTTGAAGAACAAGGTGAGGGCATATACTTACAACCACACAGAAAACAAGGGCAAACAAGGAACAGGTGAGAATCAGGAGAAAAACAACCAATCAATGACAACACAGGACAACAAGCAACAGGTCGAATCAGTAACACTTAATGAGCACAAAAACTGGGAAAGATAGTCAACGCACCAACTAGGAAACATAGCAAACACTTGGGTAACAACACTAGGAAGGATTAGGACCATAAGAATATGCAGAACATAGTAAAACACAGCAGAACTGGGGTACATCTAAAACAGGGAAACAATTATGAATAATAAACACTAGGGGAACGGAAAACCAATAAACACTGAATACAGATGAGGCTTGTCTCCAGCCATCCTCGAACTTGTGACCTGAGGAGTTCAGTCTCAGAGCCGCACGCTCAACCCAGGGAAACAGGGAAACACACTAGGGCTGAAAGCTATGAAACAGGAGAGGGGATGCAGGATGACACCTGCTGGTCAAAATGGAACATGTAGGACAGGGTTGGACGAGCGCCAACCCTGAAAGTTTATGTGTAACTTATATGTTATAAGCTGTTCAAGCATCCACCCATTTTCTGAAACCTCTTGTGCTATTCAGGGTTGCAGGGGGTCCAGAGCCGATCTCAGAGGCTATGGGAGCAAGGCAGGAAACAAACCACGACTAGGATGCCAACCCATCACAGGGCACACTCACACACCATTCACTCACACGTGCACAACTACAGGCAATTTGGAAACTCTGATTAATCTCTGCATGTTTTTGGACTGTGGGGGGAAACCAGAATACCCAGAGGAAACCCCACAACATCACTGGGAGAACACGCAAAGTCCACACACATTGAAACTGCTCAAATATTACAGAATAAAATGTTATGCCACAGTGTGTGTTATCCCATATGAAAAAACAGCATAGTTCATATAAGGCTATCTGTTACGGACTCAGGGCATGGTGCAGACGATCCACTTGTGGCTCCAAGAGACAACAGGGATTTATTGGGGCAAACAAAAAGAATACCGGGGAAAAGTACTAAAACAAAAAGATCAGGAGGGGTCAGAAAACAAAAAGGAAAAATACAAAATTAACTAAAACCATGAAACAAAGCATAACCAAGGAACTAAGCGAAGATACAGGGAACAAAACTCAGCAGTAGAGCAGAGGAACAAACACACAATAACATGAATACTGTCCTGCCCCGATCGTCCGCTCCTCTCGTGTGCCACGCACCCTCGTTAACCTCATGTGGATTCCCCGTGTTTATCAGCTGTTTCCGGTTACTGTCATTAGTGCAATGTATTTAGTCCGCGTTTCAGTTTGTTTCCCCAGTCCGGTCATTGTAATGTCGATCTGTGTGTTGCCTACTCCTTCGTGTTTTATCGCTCATTAAACCCCGTATTCCCCTTATCCTACGTCTCCTCGCCTCTGCTTCCCTGGTCATCGTGTGACAAACACAACAAGCACTGAACACTATGAAACACTGAAAGCTAACACTAGGAATAACTAAGAGCCAAAGTACTGACAAACATAATAAAACAAAACACAGGCAGAATAAACCAAAACAGGAACAGGGGTAAATCATGAAAGGTAGAAGGAAAAACCAAAAGCTAAGGATAAATTTAAATATTGTGTCATTCAAAAAACTTTTCCAAATGGGATATTTCTTATGATCTTATGCATTGTACCAACAAGCCTCTGTTCTTTCTATGAAAGCATCACAGGAACCCAGAGAATCGCACTGATCCCCTAAGGCTAGTTGTGACCATATGTTCGATTGTTGGTCATGGAAGGTGGACTGCAGTGATCCTGGAGCTTATGCCAGAAGCACTGGGTATAAGGGAGGAGGAGATAAGGAGCAAGCACTGATACAGCACATTGCTGCAGCCAGCCCACGACGAACCACCTCATGGAGAAGAACCCCAGTGCAGCTGTGGAACAGTGTGAAGTTTTTTTTTTTCCCCAGTGGCTGGAGTTCCAATCTTGCTACCAACCCCCAAATTTTCCCTGGAAGTTGGAGGTCCTGCCTGCAGGGCTGGATGTAGTTTAACGTCATACCCAAGACGAAGCAATTGCAGGTTAAGGGCCCTGCTCAAGAGCCCAATGGAGTAGAGTCACTCCTGGCATTCACAGGATTCAAGCGGGAAACCTTTCGATGGCCTGGCCTCAGAGCCACCACGCCATCTAAGGCAGAGGAGATTGGTTTTTCCATATCATCGCATGAATTGGATATTGGATATCAGGAAAATAAGCATATAATAACCACAACTACAACAACTATAGTAATGGTTTGATTAGCTAATTCTGTAAAAGTGACTTGTTACGTATATTGTACTTCAGGCTAGCCAGAGAAGGAGATGTTCCTTTGCTGTTGACATACACAGCAAACCACACCCCCCCCCCACCCCGCCCCGCCCAAAGTGGAATGCTTCAACTCAACTGCCCTTTGGACACTGGCGGATTTATGTATGGGCAACATATTTTGCCAGGGGCAGCACAGGATGCACCCCCCCCCCCCCCCCCAAAAAAAAATAAAAAATCGATTGTGACATTTGCGCAATCAGTTTTCTATCGATCATTTGCCGTCACGTCAATGATATCATGTCAATTCAATATCATGCCATGTTCAATTAACCTTCTCAGAGTGGGCACCCCAATCCTACCTCGCGACCAAGGCAGGCTGCCACTCAAATGTATGAAATAGGGGGGGAAGCGGGACTAGGATGACCTCGGGTCGCCCCACTGGAAGTCCAAGGAAGGGGGGTTTGGGGAATCTGTCAAATAGTGCACCTCTCACATTGTACAATACTAATGTAATTAGTAAAATCAGTTGTAAATTTATCATTATTCACTTGTAATGTTCCAAATTTCTTCATAAAAGTGCCAGTTATTGCTGAATGGTGGTTTTTTTTTATGGGGGGGGTGGGCGTTTGCCTGGGGAGGCATACAAGCTAGAATCACCACTGCCATTGGATGACGGGTCAGCTGGTCAATGAGTCAATGAGAGACACACGAGAGATGGTGCATTATGTCAGACTCACCACACAGGCCTCAGACCTGCTGAAGGACACGGAAAAAACATACAAAAGTGAAAGAAAATGTCATGTATTTTTCATCTCCTAACTTCTGATGGCAAACATTCTCCACATTGTTGCCCCCGTTATGGTGTCACTGTTGAGGAGAGCAAAGGCTGATTTATATTCTTGAGTAGAATCTATGCCATCAGTACTATGCAGCCTTGTTCCCGGTGCCATAGTCTGATGCAGACCTCCCCGGTAATCTAACTACAGACATCAGGCTATGGTCCGAGGCATGAGGCTGTCGACAGCAGACATCTGGCAGCCATTATATCCCTCCTAAATCCCTTTGTAAAGAAAAGTCATTTTCCTTCTTCCTCCCAACTGTTTCTTACTTGTATCCTTAATTCCATTCTTTTCTGCACAAATTTCCTCAAGCATTTAAAGGACAAACACACACATATCACTTCGAGACGAGCGTTTGGTGGCTCTGGATCGCCCGTTCACAGTTTTGGGGGAGAGCATTGCAGATTAGGAATGCTGTCTTTCACACTCTGCTCTCTTGCTTGTGAATGGGCCGGAAAGTCTGGGAGGGGCATTCCTGCATGTCCCATTGAAGCCACCCCACCCCCTCCACCCCTCCCTCCAGCTCCCCTTCTTTTATGGCTGAGTCTCCAGCCCCACGCTTGGCACAGAGCGGTCGGGACGCCACAGTCTACACGGTAAGGACGAGTAACACCAGGTTGGGTGCTGATCCCTGTGCTGATTAGGATTCAGGTGTGCATGCCAGGGCGGGGGGGGGGGTCTACCTGCTTGCGTTGATGCAGCACCGTTTCTTTGCATTTAGCACACACTTGTGCAAATTAATTGAAACAAGTAGCGATTTTTGTACAGTCTGATTTTCAGCTTCATTCTGGAAAGTAAACAATATGCCTTCATTACAAACTTTTTCAATGAGCTGGTGTTACATCATCATATGTAGGAAATACCATCATTGTTGCATTTTCTGATGGGGACAGGCCTCTTTCAGCATGATCTAGCCCTGTGCCAAATGCTGGAGACGGGGAGGAATTTCAACACGAAGAAGAAAATCAAGGCACTTGACTGGCCGGGAAACTCTCTGGATCTAAACCCTATAGAGAATCTGTGGTCAGTCAGTAAGCAGGGCCTTCGGGGAATGGACTGTACCACAAAAGATAAGCTTATTCAGGCATAATTCTACTATGGTACAGGGATCCCAAAATCATCAAAGACGGCTCCAAAGTGTTAGATTCTATGCAAAATTGCATCTAAATGCTACTAAAGAAATAAGGAGGTCATATTATATCTTGAAATGTTGATATTTTTTAACATATTTCAATTAATTTGCACGAGGGTGTGCTTGCTGGACTGTTTCCTGCATTTGTAACAGAAGTCACTCTAAACTTCTGCATGGCTCCAGCCTTGAGTTTCACAAAGAAGAGAGCAGAGGTTTTAGAACCAATCATCCAGGAAATGTGTATCCTTGCAGCTGAATAACAAAAAAATCTGCTTTGCACAAAGGAGAAAGGACAAATTCTTGTTTATCTTCTTTTGGTAGCTAAACGCTATATTGTATTTTCTGAGCACAAAGATGTTTTGAACTGTTGCTTAAAGTGGAAAAATAGTTAGCTTAATGAAGTCAGAGGTCATGTATTTTCTAGCTGAATAATGCTGTGTTAAACTCTGGCTGATGTCTGTTATCTTGCAGGTGATTCAGTTTTATCTCTTTCTCCTTCCAAAGTGTTTTTTTATGCAGCATCAGCTGAAATATTGATGCCCAGCTGTACGTCTCTAGCCTGTCTGCAGCCCCTGACATGAAGCTGGTCTGCGCCGTAGTTTTTATCATTTGCCTACATGGCCTACAGGGGGCAGAGGGCAGGCGCGATGACGGGACGGGGGCACCAGCAGGCAGGAAAGGCAAAAGCAAGACCGCACCCACTTCGGGTGAGCTGGTGACCAAAGACATGCACACGTGCACCTGGGAGATCGACGGCGAGGGCGAGGATACCCTCCTAATTCTCCTCAGCTGCAACCATGACGGTGAGGTCTACCGGTGCCGGTACGCCGGCCGGCCAAGCCTGTGCCAAGAATACGGCGCCTCGCCACGCCGGTACTGGTCGCAGGTGGTGAGCAGGATCAGGAGGAAGACCCACGCCTGCCGAGGGGAGAAGGTCCTGAGGTCGCGAAGCTGTAAAACAGCCCCGACAGAGTCTCACATGAAGCTGCTCGCCGGCCACAAGGGGGAGGGTGGCGCAGGCAAGAGGGGAGGGGCAGGAGGCAGACAGAAGCGCAAGTCGGCCAAGGATCAGGCGGGGCCTCCAGAGGAACAGAGGGATGCTTTTGGGGAAGCGAACGACAGCGATAGCGTATCGAACACGGAACCAGCAGAAAATTACTGCGCCGAGGGCTGGCTGACCGTCTGCTCCTTCTTTGTCCGATTCTTTGATGGCTAAATTAGCTGAGTAGCACTTTTCAGCAAATGTGTACCCGTCTCCAATCCCCGTGCTGAATTCATATGGGTTTCGATGCATCATAAAGGGAAAAAAACACACAGTAGCTTTTCCGATATTTGATTTTTTTTGCAATTTTATATGAACTGCTTGGTAAGAAAAGACATTATGAACATCAGCACCATAAAGCATAAATAATGGTACGATGCATATGTAAAGCAGTGTTATCTGACACTTATGCTGTAATAGCTATATCGATTATTTGTTTTTATATCACTTTTACGGCTGAGAATATCAATAAAATAAATAGATATCATTAAAGGCCAATTAGTTGAATTCTAAAAAAGTATTTGCAAGGTTCGATTGCTGTTATTATTCTTAAAAGTATTTACCTTTTTAAAGAACACTGTGTTCCTTTTCAGCCGGTTTTAAAAAGACTTGAGATTAATTATGCTGATACAGTTGGTGGTCTGTTTGTATTATGGTTTCAATAAATATTATATTTAAATTGTACAAATTGTATTTAGAATTTAAAATAAAATAGCATAAATGTGTAATAATAATAAAAACGTAAATGTCGCTATGAAATGATACGCAATGATTCTCAAAATAATATATTCATCCATTTCATATATGTTCGGGTATGCAAATGAAAGCGCAATTTAACCCACAGTGGGATAAGTGGAGGTTTTGCTTTATAGAGTATGTACCAAAATGTAAAATAAATAAGAAAAAGCTCGTGCCTCTTATTGAAGATTAAAATTTATGCAGGTGGTAGCAACGCCGGTTCCTACGCCCCTGGATGGTGGGTGGGCAGCATAGATAGGTGGAGTCCATGCATGGACCTGCCGAAGGACAGTGGGACAGATGGTGGTCGCTTGATTATCGCTCGTTAGGGACTGAGGGAAAATGTGGGCAGTAGAGTAACAGCTGACGAATAATCAGCCGCCGCGAATTTTGCGGGACCCACATTTGGAAAAAAATAACCAACATTCTTAGTCCACATAAAATACCTCGGTTTTTATTTTTAAAATTACTCAGCACTGAATGGTTACTTGTTGACTCGATACAACATTTTACGTAACCCTGTATTTACTACAGAAATCAGATAGCACGATGTTATTGTTTCAACGTTGAATTATAATTATAAATGCGTTGAATTATGGTCAGTGTTAAATTATCAGCGTTTTTGGTCAGTTTTTCAATATTTAAATAAATTGATGGTGACAAAACCTTGATTCAATGTTGATATAAAGTGAAAGATTGAAGATCAACGTTGTTTACACCTGATATGGAATCAATGTCATTTCAGCATATGTGTATCTGGGAAAACAAGATTAATTAATCGGAAAATCGCGGTGCATAGAAAAAAAGACATTTTGGCAACATGAAATTTCGAGACCAAACGCTGCACACATTGTAACTGCAATGATACTTTAGTTAAATAGCTTTTGTTCCATGATAGTTACCCACACACTAAAAGCTTGGGAATAGCTAACAAAGCCCCCCCCCCTTCCCCAGAGACGCTGCAGATGTCAACCGTGCCTTCCTGGGAAGACTGGAATCCTCTGTGGATATTGTCATGTTAATCATCTCGCTCAAGGCAAACACAATATATTGTAGCGCTTGAGTACAATAAACTGTGGATACAAAGAAATTATCCAACTTGATATGTAAAGAGCCTGAAAACTTCTTTTAAGGGTAATTTTTTTCCATTTCCTTTCAGATTCTACTTAATTAAAGTAATAACTAATTCGTCGTGCACTTCACTATGGTCGTGATGATTACTGAAACGAACTGTGCAAACCTGTGTTCGGCCAAGCTTAAACATTACAGGCCACTGGACTTCTTAGGCGAACAGAATGGAGGAAATATTCTGCAAAATGCATTTAAAGTTCATGAAGACAGGTATACATCTGGTGGAATTTCTGACTACGCAGATGTGAACATAACTAGCATAGGAGAGAGTTTGATATTCCGGGGAGGCAGACACACAAAATAAGAATTTAAAGCTTTTTGGAGGTCTGAATGCAGCCAAATAAAACAAAAAAGGGGGGGGGGGATACAGCACCGTCATTCCTGGTTTCTACGCCCCTGCATGGTGAACACAATACCCCGCAATTCTTTAACAAGCCTACATAAAGTCCAAGTGGAATTACAGAAAAAGATTTATTACTGCACAAACAAACGCATTCATTCAATACGTTTTAAAACGCGGGTGGGAGTGTAAATTATCTTAAAATAGTACGGCATCGTTGCCAAGTTAGTCCCTCTCTCTCCTCCTTGATAGCAGGGCTGATCGAGCTATATAGTCTCATCCATTTCAACATAACAAATTACTGTTGCATGGCAGAACACCATGCGTTTGCTTCGTTTTATGAGGGTAGGCCTATGCTTCGGAGAAAACAGAAAGTGGCCTTGGTTGTCAGGAATTTTTTCACAAGAAACAATCCAGGTGATATTATTCACGATTGCTGAAATATTTATGGCGCCTGACGATGTCCTTCTTATACCGCTCGCTCTTGCGAATTAAGGTCAGAATAAATAAACAAGATAGATAGATAGATAGATAGATAGATAGATAGATAGATAGATAGATAGATGTGTTTGGGGGCGACTGGTGATGTTGGAAATGGATTATACAATGCAATATTAAACCTCTCGGTAAAGTACATTGTCTTGATATGAATCTCGAGCATTCAGTATTATTGTCTTCATGCTTCACTCTGTTCAATTAACATTTTAAAAGATTTATTTATTTATTCGTTAGTTCGCTTGGCTGTCGAGTGCCCTTATCAAGAGAAACCCACTAGCGAGGGCTTACAACCAGACAGCTGATATAGAAGGCACAACCTTAATTAGGCACGGAGAAATAATTATCGTCACCAATACAAAAGCGGCTGCATGGATTTATAACAATCTGAACACTCAATTAAAAATATGTTAATACATCGTGAGATCGGATAGGATTGATGAGTGAAAAATTATACAAAAAATAAATTAACCAATTATTGCTACAACAGTTGTTCTGTTTAGAACACATTGCCAGTAGATTGCTAGATAAAGCAAGTTTGTGTTTTCAAGTATCTGATTTAAGAAATCAGTAGACAAGATGTTCCCGTATAATGATCCAATATATATATATGCATTTCACTGTGTATGTATATATGCGCCTATTTGTATTCTTAAACATATAAAGTGCGATTTCATCAATTCCATTTCTTAGTTTGCCGCGTGGGTAATATAACCATGCGCTGCCAATCACAGGCGGCGTCACCCCCTCGTGAAGTGGTGAAGCAACCAATGGGATAGGGACTCAACCAGTTTGTGACTGACTGCGCGTGACGGCGCCGCACGTTTTGAGTCCAGGAGCCTCATTTCAGCGATTCTGCATTCAAAGCATCTTCCACAAAGAGGCTCAGTGTCAGACTTCCTTCAGTCAGTCCCAAAGGCCGCAAATCCTGGGCAGAGGAGCTGCCATCACTCAGCGCCAGCCCAGAGCGCTAGGGGACACAAGAAGGGCGCTTATTGTGCATGCCTCTCCCCAGCCGTGGTGATGGGTTCACGCTTCAGTTGCTGAGTAGGGACACTGTGCCAAGATCTTACTTTGGAAACTGCAGCCAAGGGAGACCGAACAAACAAGGCTCCATTGAGAAAGCGTAAAAATCAAAAGCCCCTTTACGCCATTCGCAAATATTGTGCCGTATTATTCCTAAAATCCCATTACAAATTTCCCTGATGTAAACCCAAATCGTTGCATGCAAACAATAGTCCAGCCGGACACTAACCAAGAAGGAGAATTTAATAAAGTAAGCATGTGCAGTATAAATAAATCACAGATGAAGCTACGGCTGTGTAGCGTACAGTAAAGAAAAATATCATTCTGCGTTTTAATTGTAGGATATTAGCTTTACTGTTTTCAGCACAGTTAATAGGATTAAACATTATATTATATGTGCCAAAAAATTTGCGGAAACGGGTGTGAAATGCACGACTACTTCATCTGCCGATTCCCCGCATTCTCTCATATACATACATAATAAGATAAATGTTTCTAAGCGCAATCACGGGTGTAGTGATGCTTAACATCCACTCATCCATCCATCGTCCAGCCGCTGGAGCCTATCCTAAGCAGCACCAGGTGCAAGGTAAGTATGACCCTGGACGTGATGTCGGTTCATCGCAGGACACGCACACATTACTGGAAATCTAGAGACGCCATTTATCCCAACTTTATGTAATTACAGCCTACGCACAATACACGGACCTCATGGAATACCATTTGGTATGGGCCGTGCAGCATAAGCAAACTGGTAACCCCCACGCAACAACTAGTCATACTCGTTAAAAACTTTTCACAGAATATGTTATTAAATGTAGAGACGATCAGTGACAAGAAAAGTTCTTGTGGGGGATTTATAGAGGGATTTTTATATATAAACGAGCTATTTTGCGTGAAATATTTTGGCTGCTTTGTACATTGTGAAATTTAGTTAATTTAATAGAAGATTATCTAGACCAGGGGTCTCCAACTCCGGTCCTGGAGAGCTACTATCCAGTCGGTTTTCAATCCTACCTGGCTTCTGATGAGCCACACCTGGCCCTGGTATTTACCTGAGAACAGGTGTGGCTCATCAGAAGCCAGGTAGGATTGAAAACCAACTGGATATTAGCTCTCCAGGACCGGAGTTGGAGATCCCTGATCTAGACTGAATAGTTAAAGAATATTTCAACAACAAAAGTATATCTGCAGTACACATCAAAAAACTTAACTGTGAAGTGCAAATGCGCATCTTAATAAGAGGGCTGATGAAGAACTTTGTGGACTAAGGTACAGCAGGCTGATTCTTTTTTCTTGTTAACGGTTCCAAAGCAGGGGTGTCACTAAACTCTCAGAAAAAGGGTACCATTTTGTACCTTTGGATAATGGGCTATGAGGAACATTTTTGTACCCTTTGGGGTACATTAATGTTGTTCTGTACCTTAAAAAGCACATTTACCTACAACTAGGGTACAATTGGCAGACCATTGAGGGTACAGTCCCAGTGACAAGCAAAGGTACAAACTGGTACCTTTTTCTGACAGTGTAGAGATTTTGGGCCCCATAAAAGCATTATATATTGGGGCCCCAATTCAGACTAATCCAATTATGTTCTGATTATTTGGGGCCCCTGGAATCACTGTAACACCCCATCCCTCCATTATAGCATCCCTGACTGCTACCTACTGTATACTACCTACCTTAGTACATTGCAGTGATTATTCGATTCAATTTATTTTTATATAGCGCCTTTTCCCAAGGTGCTTAACATGGGTGTGTTGTGAAACATTAATACAGCATTAGAGAGAATAATACAGAACGGGAAAAAGGAATGAAAGAAATGAAATAAAGAAAGATGACAACGGAGGAGAGGAACCAAGAAGTCCCAAGTAAGGAGAGAAAAATCCTCTGGGGGTCCAAGGTCACAATCCCCCCCCCCCCCAATCGCTTGGTTGGCACAACTCACAACAGCACCACCTTATTTGATGTTGGTAGATAAAGTTATTTGGCTATATAGTTTATTTTGAGTAAATGACTT